CCACCATCGAAACCACCGTCAACGGTCTGGCCAAGGCATTTTGATGGCTATATTCAGGTGTTTGACATGCCAGTAGAGACACAGATATAAGATTAATGTGTGATTAAGTGGTTTTCTCTTCTTTTTTTTTTTCTTTTCTGGGTGTAATTGTTTTGGATTTTCATAATAAACAATATTTTTCTATAAATACATTGTTGACTTCTTGTTTCATTTATTTAGGCAAAATACATGAATTGTTTCTAAAATTATCATGTTAAAATAAATTATTATCTTTGAAAAGATATTAATGTAATTTAACACCTTAAAATTTTATTTTAAGAAATCCATGCAAATTAGTAGTTGTTAAATTTGAGATAATTTGTTAAAAATAAAAATTTGAGTTTCCAGCGCAATGTTCTCCGGATGCCACCATTGCATGGCCAAAACTAGGTTGTAAGTCTCTGGAATTGGCTCGTAAATTTTCCTGAAGAACATATTCAAGAAGTCCTGCTCGGCGAAACGGGTGGGAGGGGTGATCTTGAGCTTCTTCAAGAGCTCATCGTAGACGGAGAGGCTAGGTTCAAAATCGAACATGCCAGCATTGAAGAAGAGAGGAGGCTTGGCACCCAACTTCGCCGGCCTAGTTCACCGCTATTCAGCTCTATCCGCTGCGTAATTGGTGGTTCGGTTGGAGATAGAGATATAGGACTAATATGTGATTAAGTGGTTTTTTATTTTATTTTATTTTTATACTTTTAGCATTTCTCTTTTATGAAATGGAAGGCTTTTAAAGTCCCATTTCATTGTTTTGGGGACTGGATAAGACTGTTAATTTCCTCATTTTCTGTACATTTATATATGTTCTTGTTCTCTTTAATTTTAGGAAAAGTGAATGAATTTCTTTTGATCTCCTTTCTGTAAAATCACAGCAAATAATGGATATGCAGATGCTTCATAAATTTACAATGAATGCAAAGTATTTAGAAAGATATGGAATTTGAGAAGGCAAATCAGTTACATTCAGCAAATTAATTTCCCCCATTTACCACCTTCTTGTTATTTATGATATGATCATTCTGGATTGTTTGCAACATATAATCCACAACAATGGTCTTTCCGGCCTTTTTAGTTTCTGCTGCTTTTCTGTTGTTTTCTCCTTTCGTCACCTGCCCTTCTCATGGAGTCATTCAAGATGTCTTGGCTACCATATGCTCCCAAACTCAAAACCAGGAATACTGCATAGGGCTATTACAGAGCGATCTGCGCACAAGCTCTGCAGACATACCCTTACTCTCGTTGATATCCCTAGAGCTGGCAATCCATCAGGCTGATGAAAATTACCAGGCTTTTGTGCAATACAAAAAAAACAGCACTCAGAAGGGATTGAGTGATTCTTTTGGAAACTCTGCAACGTTTTACCAAGATATGAAGGACAAACTCCAAGCAGATCATCAGTTGTCAAAGTAGAGGCAGTTTGAGAAAATCACTAACCTGGGTGGATTGACTGCTCTTGCTTACAACTGTGAGAACGGGCTGCCTTTTAGCCCCCCAACAGCTTCCATCACTGAGGATATGCTTCTTACCCTCCAGACTGCAATTTATGTCAATGAATATGTTCAGTCAACTCCAGGGCCCAATGTTTAGTCTACTGTTTTTTAAGGTTTTAAAAATGAATCCTGGGTTTCTTTCTTGTCGATATAATAAAGTTTGCTTTTGTTAGCTACTTATGTTCAACTCTGATGCCTCTAAGTTTCTAACAGAAAGAAGCACCATTGCCATATGACTAAGAAAACTTGAAGCAACTAGTGGGAAGTCAGACCGAAATGTGCTATATAAATTGACTCTGATATGTAAAGCATCTGTAGTCATCAATTCTTCTCAAATGTTATGTCCAAAACAAGTACCAATTGTGATATTCTCTGACAAAATGTACTCTAATGAATATGTTGAACGTGTATAGATTGTGGTATTGTCAGACAAATCAAGCTCATATCCTAATGAATGTCTTAAAATGAATGGGGAAAAATATCTTGGAACATGATTAACAAGGTGCAGTACACATGTTAGTTTGCTCGTTGTCTATGTCTTGGGCATCTTCAATTTTCTTGCACTTTTCTTCAGACCAGTTACATTTGTCATGTTTCCTTCATCTGCATCATCAGGTTTTGGATTTGAGGACTTCTTCGCACTTTTGGAACCTGCAGGCAGAGTAATGCTTCTAGTTATTCTCCTTGAACCTCTTACATCCTTCAAGTTTCGCATGCAAGGACTTTTTTGTGCTTTTGGAACCTGAAGGCAGAGTCATGCTTCTAGTTATTCTCCTCGAATCTGTTGCATATTCCAAGTTCTCTTTATCTGCATCATCAGGTTTTGCCTTTGAGGACTTCTTTGCTCTTTTGGAACCTGACGGCCGAGTCATGCTTGTAGTTATTCTCCTGAAATCTGTTATATCTCCCAAGTTCTCTTCATCTGAATCATCAGGTTTTGCCTTTGAGGACATCTTCACTCTTTTGGAAACTGAAGGCAGAGATTTCATTCTTCTAGTCTTTTCCTTTGAAACTGTTATATCTTCCAAGTTTTCTTCACCTACATCGTCAGGATGTACATTTAACTTCTTTGCACTTTTGGAACCTTGGGGCCTAGATTTCATGCTTTTAGTTGTTTTCCTTGAACCTGTAACATCTTCCAAATTTTCTTCCCCTCCATCATCACGTTTTGCAGTCAAGGACTTCTTTGCACTTTTGGAACCTGAATACAGGGATTTTATGCTTCTAGTCCTTCTTCTTGAACCTGTTACATCTTCCAAATTTTCTTCACCTGCATCATCATGTTTCCCAGTCAAGGACTTCTTTGCACTTTTGGAACCTGAAGACAGGGATTTTATGCTTCTAGTCCTTCTAGAACCTGTTACATCTTCCAAATTTTCTTCACCTGCATCATCACGTTTTGCAGTCAAGGATTTCTCCGTAGTCTGTGACATACGTTCAAGATTCAAGATTCAAGACCGGTTTTCCAATTTGCGTTTAGTCTGATATAGAATGAAATCTAACCCAGGTCTTCAAATTCATGATACAAGAACAGAACCATCATTGATTATTGCAACTCCAATCATAAAGAAAAGAAACCCATTTCCATATACATGCAAACGGACTCAGAGAACCCAAGAAAACACACAATTTCAAGAATCAACAACCCCCACCCAGATTTATAAAGAACTCAGCACTCATGGTTTTATCAGATTAAACCAAGAATACTACGAATGGAGAGTTAAGAGAAAGAATAAGACAGACGGAATTCTCACCTGGGGACTGGGAGTTTCTAGTGTGAAGAGCTAAGCTTTCATGACTCTTCACGACCCAGATAGTGGGAGAATTTACTGTTGATTCTGTTTCAGATTAAGGGGCAAAGTGCTAAATTGGGGGGTTTTGGGCTTTTGGGTGTTGGTATATATAGGAATGAGAGGATGAAGTGAGAAGATTATTTCCCACCATATTTTTTTTTATTAGGACAAGTGATTTGGAAGAGGAGGGTGAAGAAGAAAATTGAACTCTTATTATGATAAAAAAAACTTATATATATATATATATATATATATTTTTAATAATATTACATGGGGTGGGGTTGACCCCTGAGTAGGATAAGAGAATGCATCAGCTGGTCGGAGACCACTTAACCCAAAGGGCCAAATGCAATAAAAAAAACTTACATTAAATTGTTGTGTTATTAAGTTCTCATGCCTTCTTTATAATACCTATCATATTAAAATCCCATTTCAACTAACAAAAATGTCTTGAGCCTTTTGTTTTCTTTTGTTTTGTTTTGTTTTTTTTTTTTTTCTTAAACGTCAAAAATGTCCTTTTATACTCCTCTTCGGTATTGTAGTTAGTATAATTATAAACTTTTCTTCGGTACTTAATTAATATAATTATAAATAATTTTATTTTATAATTTAAATTATATCAAATTATAAAATAAAAATTATTAAAAAAAATTTTAGTATCATACAATTTATTTTTATTTAATATTTAATATAATATATTTAAATATAATCTAAACAATACTATATTTTTTCATAATTATAATGATATTTTACCATTTCATCTTACTAACACGGCAAAATAGTTAATCGTTATTGAGATGTAAACTCCCAATGTCCAAAGTTCCGCCTTCCGGTCACTAAAAATAGAAACACTTCCTCGAGATTTTTTTTTTTTATCAGGAACAACATAAAAAAATATAAATA